AACTGTGGGACCCCCTCACCTCCTCGCTCCCCCAAAACTGTGGGACCCCCTCACCTCCTCGCTCCCCCAAAACTGTGGGACCCCCTCACCTCCTCGCTCCCCCAAAACTGTGGGACCTCCTCGCTCCCCTAGCCTGTGGGAGCCCCTCACCTCCTCGCTCACCTCAGCCTTTGGGACCCCCTCCCGGTGAGGGGTCTTTACTGAGAGACACAGTGAGCAGGGGAGCCTCACCTGTCACCCACACCATGGTGCTGGCTGTGATCTCAGTGAGATTATCCGATGCCTTGCAGGTCCATGTTCCGTGATGATCCTTCCTGATGCTCCGGAAGAACAGTGTCCCGTCCTCAAGGACCTGGAATTGTCCCGGGGAATTACTGCCCTCCTGGGAAAATTTGAGGAGCAGCATGATTACAAACGCGAATCCCTTCTCCCCCTCTCGTTCCTCTCCCACTTTCTCCACTGCATTGCTTGCTCTCTCCCTTCCTCTATCTCCCCCCTCTATCTCATTCTCTCTGTCTCACTCTCATTCTCCCTTTATCTGTCTCCTCATGCAGACTATCTCTCATTGTGCGTCTATTACTTTCTCTCTGTTATCCTTCTAACCTCTCTCTCTCTCCCTGTTGCTATCTCCTGGCGCTTCCCATTCTATCTCTGCCTTACTCTCGTTGTCCAATTGTCTATCTGCTCCTCTCTCTGTCCCCTTTGTTTCTGTCACTCTCTGTTTGTCTGACCCCTTCTCTCTCTTTCTCTATCAATAACCTTCCTTCCCTCTTCCTGTCGGTTGTTTTTTTACAGAATTTTTGGGCCTTTGAAAACCCTCAATGAAAACCATTTTTGCAAAAACACTTCTCTACCAAATGGTGGCAAAATTTCACAATGAGAAATTCAATACCCAACGTGAACAGGACAAAGCAGGAACTGAGGAGCTGTTTACAGGTGAAGCTGATTGGTTCTCATCTAACTGAGCAGGTTGGAACTGGAAACAACATACCGAGACACAGAGAAAGAGAGAGGGGGAGAGAGACAGAGAGAGGGGGAGAGAGAGATAGAGATAGAGTGAGAGAGAGAGAGAGACAGAGAGAGGGGGGGAGAGGGAGAGAGAGAGAAAGACACTGAAGTATATTCATTCGGCTGTACAGCACAGAAACATACCCTTTGGTCCAGCGTGTCCCTGCCGACCCGATATCCTAAATTAATCTAGTCCCATTTGCCAGCATTTGGTCCATATCCCTCTAAAACCTTCCTATTTCATGTCCCCATCCAGACACCTTTTAAATGTTGTAATTGTACCAGCCTCCACCACTTCCTCTGGCAGCTCATTCCATACAAACACCACCCTTTGCGTGAAAATGTTGCCCTTTTAGTCCTTTAAAATTTTTCCCCTCTCACCTTAAACCTATACCCTCTGGTTTTGGACTCCCCCATTCCCAGAAAAAAGACCTTGTCTATTCACGTTATCCATGTCCCACATGATTTTATAAACCTCTATAAGGTCACCCCTCAGCCTCCGACGCTCCAGGGAAAATAGCCCCAGCCTCTCCCTGTAGCTCAAACCCTCCAACCCTGGCAACATCCTTGTAAATCTTTTCTGAACCCTTTCAAGTTTCACGACATCTTTCCTATAGCAGGGAGACTGGAATTGCATGCAGTATTCCAAAAGTGGCCCTAACCAATGTCCTGTACAGCTGCAACATGACCCTCCCAGCTCCTATACTCAATGCACTGACCAATGAAGACCAGTGTCCCAAACACCTCCTTCACTATCCTGTTTATCTGCGACTGTACTTTCAAGGAGCTATGAACCTGCACTCCAAGGTCTTTTTGTTCAGCAACGCTCCCCAGGACCTTCCCATTAAGTGTATAAGCCCTCTCCTGATTTGCCTTTCCAAAATGCAACACCTCCCATTTATCTAAATTAATCTCCATCTGCCACTCCTCGGCCCATTGGCCCATTTGGTCAAGATCTTGTTGTACTTCTTCGCTGTCCACTACATCTCCAATTTTAGTGTCATCTGCAAATTGTTCTCTCATGCAAAAACTGCAGTCATAAAACTCCTGTTTAAACTTGAAGAATGATCAGCTATCTTGCCTGCAGGAAGTTGCTGTGAAATGAGATTTGTGGATTGAGGAATCAGGCACATTTTAAAAGTGAACCACCCACTCTGTGTGTCTCCTTAAAACTGGCAGAAGCATGCAGAGGACAATAACTGATCTACAAGGGTCTGGCTTAATGATGTAGAACCATCCCAAAATCGGAAACGGGAAGTCTATCAAACAGACTCGCCAAGGTGTGCGTACGAGTGCGAGTGTGTGTGTGAGTGTGAATGTGCGTGGGAGTGTGCATGTGCATGGGAGTGTGCGTGGGAATGCGTGTGGGAGTGTGCGTGTGTGTGCGTGTGTGTGAGTGCGCGTGTGAGTGTGAGTAACTGTAGGTAAGTGTATGTATGTGTATGTAAGTGTGTGTGAGTGTGTGTGTGTGTGTGCAACTGTGTGCGCATGTGTGTGCATGTGTGTCTGTGTGTAAGGGAGACACTATGAGGGAATGAAAGTTTCAGTTCACAGAATCATACACCAATGGTTTATGCCTGTTTATCTGGAGTGAGAAACTATTTAATTGCAATAATTCTTGTTCAGTATAGAAAGTCCAGTCTCTGCCAACTTTGCTCTGAATGTCAGGCAAATTCAGGTACAGGGTCTCCTTTTAAAAAAAAAGTGACATTTGGTATCACTCTGGAAATAGCTAAGCTCAACTTAGAGCATGCGATCCCAGTGGGTCTTACCATCACAGTCTATGACATCTAAAGGGGCTGTTATTTTCCATAGTATACACAGGCGCTGCTGTTCTCTATAATATACACAGGGACTGCTGTTCTCGATAATATACACAGGGACTGCTGTTCTCGATAATATACACAGGGACTGCTGTTCTCTATAATATACACAGGGACTGCTGTTCACTGTAATATACACAGGGACTGCTGTTCTCTATAATATACACAGGGACTGCTGTTCTCGATAATACACACAGGGACTGCTATTCTCTATAATATACACAGGGACTGCTATTCTCTATAATATACACAGGGACTGCTATTCTCGATAATATACACAGGGACTGCTATTCTCTATAACATACACAGGGATTGCTGTTCTCTATAATATACACAGGAACTGCTATTCTCTATAATATACACAGGGACTGCTATTCTCTATAATATACACAGGGACTGCTATTCTCTATAATATACACAGGGGCTGCTATTCTGTATAATATACACAGGGGCTGCTATTCTCTATAATATACACAGGGACT